CCGCCCCTCAAGGTGGAGGTTTGGTGTCCAAGGGGAGAGGGTAGATGCAGAGCGGCCACCCCACCCGCACCCCCGAGGCGGAGGTCTGGGTCCAAAAGGAATAGCAGGTGTGGAGTGGCTGCTCTGTCCTTGGTAGAGGTTCAGTGTCTGAGCAGGGAGGGCAGGCATGGAACAGCCGCCCACCCTCCAAGGTGGAGGTCCAGGGTCCAAGGGCGGAGGGCAGGCACCAAGCAGCTTACCCACTAGGTAGAGGTCCCGGGTATGAGGTGGAAGTCCGGGGTCCAAAATTGAACCCTTGAGTGATCAAAAAGGGTAAAATAGAGGCCTCTAAATAATGTGCTTTTAGAAAGCTTCATAATTTTCTAATTCCAATATTGGATCTATCTTGAAATCATGCATTTGACATTTTGGTCCTAAAATTTTATTAATTATAAGAATCACAATTATGGCACATGTAAATTTTTCTTAAATATCTATTAATATTTTATTCATTCAATTCAATAAATATTGAATACCTGCCGTGGGGCAGAGAGACACTGTGCTAGTCACTGGTATGTATCAGTAAAGTAACACAAAAATCCCTATCTTGTAAAATATACTTTCTATTCGGAAATATAATGAACAAACATTTTCAAAACAGTATTTTAGAAGATAACATATGCCACAGTAAGAAAACGAACTGTGTTAGGGTAATTAGAAGTGTAGTGGGAAGGCTTCAAAACAGAAATATGCCTGGTATGTTCAAGAAATAGCAAGCAGAAACAATCTTTCAAATATTAACAGCCTTAATTCATTTTGGTCTTATTAAAATCAAGGAGATACAATATTTAAAAAACTAGAATATAAACGAATTGCAACAGGCTGGTTAGTTGTTCACCAAACCCTTTTTATGATCTGCTGAGAGAGAACTAGAATGTGGGCCATAGCTTCCCTTTGAGTGTGGTCAAAGGATTTGGTTCTAGAAAATAAAACACAGGTGGAAATTTATATACAGCTCTTTCATGTTCGGGTCATTACAGACTTCCCACATTCATCTTCAATCACGTTTCCCTTTGTCCAGTAATTTTGGAAGCCAATTGTTTATTTTTGATACTAGGAATTGAGCAAGATCCTGGGAATTGAGCTCAGGATCTTGCACTTGCCAAGCAAGTGCTGTGCCACTGAGTTATCTTCCCAACTTGGAAACCAATTGTTAAAGCTGGCAAAACTAGAAGTTAGAAGCCACAGTTCCTAAATCATTACTGCCTGGAAGCATGATACTAAGTAAGGACATTTCTATTGGGCTTTAGATAGGTGTGAAATAAATGATTAGCTGAAGAAGCTGTTGTAAATAATACATCAGATTTTTTGAGACAGTGCCTCACCACATGAAGATTGGTCTAGAACTCACTAGATAGCCTAGATGGGGCTAAAATTCACAGTGATCTGTTGGGGATCAGTTTATGTAGGGTTAAGTTGGGACCTCTGGTCATATTGGAAAAACTCATATTCACAGTTTTTATAGGTAACAATGTGTTGCAGCAGTAGGCTACTGATACTCTCTATTCCAGAGCAGTAACTGTCAACCTTAGAAATCAAACAGTTCTCTTAACTAGCAAGATTTACTGCCTTTATTCTAACTTCTTGGGCTTCTGCCTCAGATGTATCCTTTTCCTGCACTACCCGATCAAATCTGTAGAAATCCAGTAAATACAAGTGATCTGGAAAACTTAGGGTCTTAGTTTCCAAAGTTCTGAGATCCCTGGACTCCTCAAACCATATGCCATTTTTTAAAAATTAAACTTATTTTTAGAGGCTAGGGGACTGATCACTCCTGACAGTGATGCTCCTGCCTCAACCTCCCAAGTGTTAGGATTACAGGAAAGCACCACCACAGCTGGCTAGCTTATCTTAAAATACTTGAAAATATCACTTAAAAGTCTAGTGATACTCCAAACATTCCTGCTCAGAAGACTAATTATAAAGTTTCAATTAGGAGATTAGAAGTTAGAAATCCCAAAACCATAGTCAGGTTATCAAAGTATAGTCAAAGTTCTACAAATTGAAGGAATTTATATAATTTTTTTTGAAATGGTCTCACTGTGTAGTTCAGGCTGACACTGAACTTACTATGAATCTCAGGCTGGCCTTGAACTAGCAGAAATCCTTCTGCCTCGGCCTCCCCAGTGCTGTGATTACAAGCATGTGCTACCGTGCCTGGCTCATAATTTCTATAATGCATAACGTTTCCATTTTTTCCTTGGTTAATCCTTCCTACAAACATAATCCCTACTAGAAGGGGATTATATATACTACACTATTTACATTATTAAAGATATCTCCAGATTTTTATTCATGTATTGTCATAAAATCTACTTTCCTATTTTATATCCTTCTTACCAGTACCTTTTCATCTCTCTGAAACTACCAGCACTTTTTCCCCTCACCCTCATTTTCAGTGAATGATCCCTCTTTGAGAAAACTAAAACTGTAAAACAAAAAATTCTACAGATCCTATCTACTTATATTCTATGCCACATACACTTTTTTGCTACTGCTATTGTAGAAATGTCTTTTCCTCTTAAAGTCCAACACTTTCACTTATCCACTAAAATTCCATCTTTTAATCTAATGCAAGACATTTTATTTAAAAACCCTTTCTCTCCTGTATATTTCCCCGTCCTTAAATCTCTATTTAAATGTGCTGTTTATACCTCTCTTTTTTTTTCTTTTTTCCTTTTTATTGGTAACAGGGATCGAACTCACGACTGCCTGCTTCCAAGGCAGGTGCTTATACCGCCAAGCTAAACCTCCAGCCCCTATTTATCCCTTTTTAAAACTGTTATTTCTATTTATGTATTTTTAAAACTTATTTCCTTCTCTAATAAGTATCCCATTTGTCTTCTTGCTTCATAGTATAATTTACTGAGTTGTTTATATCTGATGGAATAGCTCTCAACTTCCTCTCCCCCTATACTTTCTTAAAACTCTTCAAATACTACTTCACTAAAATGACTACAAATGGCCAATTTCCTTCATATTAATAACATTAATTTATCTTTGAGCAGCATTTTACACAACTTATCACTCTCTCCTCTTTGATACACTTTACAGGAAACTAAATCTAGTTTTCCTACTACAACTCTATCTAATCCCTTGATGTCTCATCTTTTTTTTTTTTAAATACACTCATTCTCAAAACTGTGTTTTCATCCAATCTGATCAATTTAAATATGCTACTGATTTCCAGATTTATAGAACAAGTGTGTACCTCTTTAATTTTATTCAACAATTCTGTTTAAATCTATGATGGGCATTTTAAATCTGACATACAAAATTTCAATGTTCAGTATAAAAATAATGAAGTTATTCTTGGTCCACTTTCTCCCATACCTCATCTAATCTTCAAAATACAGTAAAGCACTAGTTTGCAAGCATAATTGATTTCAGAAGCATGTTAGTTATCCAAAGTACTTATATATCACAGTGAATTTCCCCTTTAGAAATAATGGAAACTCAGATGATTCATTCCACGACCCAAAAATATTCATATAAAAATAACTACAATACTGTAATATAAAATAAGTATAAAAACAAATTAACCTGCACTTCCCTTTGAAAACCTTCATGACAGGTATGAAGGAGAGTCGAAAAGGAGGACTTCCACTATTACTAATGGAATCTTTTTTTTTCATACAACTTTATCAGGGAACCATTCAACAACACTTCGTTTTGCCTTCTTTAAGAGAATTTCATGAACTGGGACACTGCACTATTGTTAAATAAGATTCATTACTCACACTGCTATAGCCATATATGAGTGGGGATTTGCACTGTTTCTCACATTTTTCACATCTGCCTAATCTCATTTGAAGTAAGAGATTCTTCCACCTTTTTATTTCTGATCCTCTGTAAACAAGATGTCCTCTATAACCTCTTTCTTTTGGGGTATAATCACCCACAATCCTTGGGTGAAGGAGACAGACACACACAGAGACAGAGATTGCCAGGAGAGAGGGAGGAAATCATATGATATTTGACATCACGTACTACTTGTATTCTAAGACACAGCTCACTTATCAAGTTAAAGTGTATTAGAAATGTGTGCTCATCCTGTGGAACACTTCCACACACGTTACTTGTAATAAATGGTACTATAGATCTAAAAGTTATTCATTTTACTCTCTTACTGTTCTCATCCTTGTTCAAACTACTACCATCTTTCATATACATTACTAAAATCATCTGTTTGCCCTATGTTAGCAGCTAGAAAGATCCTGTTTAGAACATAAGTTTCTTATGGTTCTTTTATTAAAAATCATCTAATAATTTCGCATCTTATTCAGACAGAAACCAAATTTCTTATTAGTGGCCTACAAACTCCACATAATTTGCTCACTCAAATTCAACTCAGATCTTTTCTTCTACTCTTTTTTGTTCACTGTCCTCAAGTCACACCAACTTCTTTGATGCTTCTCAGATTTGCTTAGAATATATTGTCACCCCTGGGTTTTTATATTTCCTGTTCTTCCTTTCTGATAGTTCTAGGCTCACCTGTTATTTTCATCAGATCTTCACTCTAACATCATTTCAATGAGGACTACTCTACTTAAAATGTCAACATCTTTTACATTTTCTAGTATTTCCTATTCTTCTTCTTAGTAATTATCATTAGCTAGTATACTGGATATTTTGTTTATTGTCTGTTTTACTCATGAGAATATAAAATCTAGGTAAAGAGGGTTTACTTTCCTGTCTGTTCACCATTACATGCCCAGTAGTGACAGTTGCAGCCAATTCTTGGTAGGTACTCAATAGTTATTTGCTTAATTCACTTCAGAAATCATATGGCTATAAACTTTTTTCCTGCCACAAAAAAGTCACCTGACAATTTCATGACTACAGCAAACAAACCTGCTTGAGAAATATAAAACTCCATTAATACGTTCTATTTAAAAATCCTATTCTTAAAATTATAATGATGTAGCTATTCAAGTGTCGCACAGAGTCAATATGAAGCATTTATTTGCATCCAAAATATTTTAATAGAAAAGAATAAAGAATAAATCTTGATAATTCATTTCCTACATTCAAAACTAAAAATCTGAAAACTTAGTATTAATACAGACAACAGTAACAAAATATCACAAAATTATCTGAATATAACAAGTTTCCAGATTGCCTTTTACATTCAGGCCAAAATACAAAATAATATGAAAAATACAAATTTTTTAAGTACTAATCTCAGTAAAGTTTGGCTCTTGGAAAAGAAAAAAATTAACTATTAATTTGATATTATTAGGTTTCACTGTCATATTGATTTTCTTAAATCAAACAAATAACTTTTCTGCTTCCTTTAGTTTTTTTTTCCTGTCCATTTTAGCAATTACAGCCCAACGGTCATCTTGCATTCTCCTCACAGGTCCAAAATTAAGCACTGATCCAGGAGTTGTCAGAGATGGAGTCTGAATACAAAATAAAACAAAAGTACAGTATTTTCAATTTTTGCATAAAAAGTCCAGCTTTACAAGTTTTTTTTCTGAAATAAAACTTAAAACTTACCTTTTTTGGTGTTCTGACACAAAGATGAGAAACTGGTGGACTATTACTTTTGTACAGTCTATTCAGCGTGTCTTCCTCAGAAACCATGCTCTAAAGAAAAATACAAAAATATAAATTTAAGATTCCTCATCATTATATTATTAACACTTTGTCAATATATTACATGTGAAGAGAATAAAGCATAAAATGAGGGGAAGGAGAAGAAAGGAAGAGGAGAGAAAAAGAAAGATGGAGGGAAAACCAAAGAAAGAGAGTAACAAAACAAATCCTCAATTAGCCAAAAGAAAACCTGGATATTTATTTAATATAGTCCTGAAAAGTTATGTGAAATGCAAGTGTATAAGGAGTAACACTTTTCGAAGAACAAATTTTGGCTTCAATTATTTTTTCCTCTATTTTCCATTCTCTAATTTATCTCTGCTCTGATATTTATATTTTTCTTCTAATATTTTTGCATTTAATTTACTCATTTCTTACAAAGTTAACTGACTTGAGAGCTTTTTAAGGAAATCACATAAATTTCCCTATGAACACTGCTTGTGCTAAATTTTGTTACATTGTTCTTTGATTCATTGCTAAATATATTCTAATTTCCTCTGTGATTTCCTCTTTGATATATTAAGTTTATTAGTTACCACAATTTAGGAATACTTCAGTTTTCCCTTCCTGATTCTAACTTCATCATACTGTAGGTGGAGAAAATATTTTGTGTATTGTCTTATTTTGTAAAATGTAGTGATACTTGTTTTGTGTTGCTTAACCCATCTCCTACATCTCCCACATGCATCTGAGAAGACTACGTATTCTGCTATTGTTGGGTAATGCTTTGTATATCTCTGTTACACCTAGTTGATTGTGTTCAAGTCCACTATTCTTCCTCACTTCAGTTTGCTTGTTCCATCCATTATTGAAAGTGGCACACTAAAGGGTCCAACATTTACAAAATTTCATTTTTGTTTTAAAAACTTTCAATTCTAGGAAGTTTTGCTTCATACTTGAGGATGAGGTTTTTTTGAGGTTGTTATAGAAATACTTAAAAATTTTCACATCTTGCTACAATATACTTTTTATTAATATATAATGTATCTTTTGTCTATTGTATTTATTTGAAGTATATTTTATCTTATAGGACTGTCATCCTATAAGTTCACTTTTAGTTACTTTTTATATAAAATTTTTTTCATTTTTTCACTTTTAACCAATTTGTATCTTCTTTCAAAGTCTATTCTTTAAATCTTTGGAGAATACAACTCATTAATATCTACAGTAATGATTCACAGAGAAGGGTTTACTTCTGCCATTTTGCTATTTGTTTTCAATGTGCATCATAGGGTGACTTTTTCACTCTTCATTTATTCTATTGTTTAGGCAAATTTTTATACTTAAGCATTCTGATTCTTCATGGATACTATATATATAATTTAATTGCAGTGATGATTACATTTAAAACTCATAATATAAATTGAATTTATATCATCTTAACTTTAGTAGCCTAAGAAAATTCTGCTTCTACAGTTCCATCCCTCCCTTTTTGTTGTCACAAGTTACATCTTTACATACTGTGCTCAATAACATAGGTTAATTTTTAATGTATTTATCTTGAAAGTCATGTGAAAATTTAAAAAGTTATAATTCAAAATTCCATAACACTAGTTTTGTGTGTTGTCCAGATATTTTATCTTTACTGGATATTTATTCATACAGCTTTAAGTTACTAACCAATATCCTTTCATTTCCATCTAAAGGACTCCCTTTTGCATTTCTTGAACAACGAATGTAGTGGTAGCAGACTCGCTCAGTTTTTGTTCATCTGAGAATATCTTAATCTATAGACACATAATTCTCAGGTGATAGGTTTTTTTCCTTCCCTTCATCACTTTGAATGTATAAATATACTGCCTTCTGGCCCTGTAAATGTTCTTCTTAGGAATCAGATGACAGCAAAAATTACTTCAAATTTTCAATAGTTTGATTATAATTTGTCTAAATATAGGTATTTTTGAGTTTATCCATCCCAAGAGTTTGCTGAGCTTCTTGGATTTGTAGATTCATATCTTTCAAAAAAAACTATGTAACTTTGTAGTCATTTATTTCGTGAAATACTCTTTCTTCCAATTTCTCTCTTCCTTATGGGACTCCACAAAGCATATATTGGTCCACTTAATGATGTACTACCAGTCTCTGAGTCTCACTTTCATTCTATTTTTCCCCTTTCTCAGACTCACCATTTTCAACTGTCTAAAAGATTACTTCTGCTTATTCATATTTCTGTTTATGAAAATCTTATGAATTCATATAACAGAATGCTTATTTCAGTAATAGTACTGCTTAGTCAAAGAATTTTGTAGTTCTTTTCAAAATTTCAATCTTTTCATTATTATTTTCATTTTATTCACAGTCTTTCTTTATGTCTATCTCCCTTTGTTTTTCTGAGGTATTTTAAGACAGCTAATTCTTAAAGTCGCTGTCACAAGTGGACAATCTATGTATCACTGTTGTCTGATTGACATGATTTGCATTTTTTTCTCTTTCTTATGTTTGAATAAAATGGGTTTGAAAAAAAATAAAGTCTCTGTCAAGTAAGTCTAACACCTGGTCTTCTTCTGGAACAATTTGTGCATTCCTCTGAATGTTCTATGTGCATCTTAAAAACTGGGCATCTACATGTGAAAATATGTTAACTCTCAAATTAGATTTGCCCTCTTCCCCAAGATCTATTTTCATCTGGGTTTTGTTTTCATTTACTTAAAGTATCTCTCTACTAGGTAGCATCATAAAGTAAAAAGCAAAAGGTCTTCTCAGGTATTTTCTAAACCTGAGCCTATCTAGCAACTGTCTAGATTATTTTCTGCTTTTGTTCTGGATGTCTAATTCTTAAATGCCTGGATTCTGTAAGAGTAAAAATCTTTTTTACTCTTAAAAAATCCTTTTTACTCTTAAAAAAAAGCTAAACACGTGTGGTTTGGAAGTCACTTTGGCCAGTGAAAGTAGTAACATGGGACACTGAAAATCCTTATTGCCATTCTTAGCTCCAGCAAGCTAGTGCAGAAGCATGAGTATGACTGCCTGTCTTTGATCTGTGGATTACAGTCAGTGAGAAACACCATGCTCAAGGTTGGAATTCACTAAAACCAAGCAATTTACTATCAAGGCCTTCCTCTAGAAGCTACAAGCATTCAAATAGAATACCAGAGTTCCAAAATAGTTACTTAATTTTTATTTTGGTTAGTACAACTATTATCTAGATACAGATGGATTCCTGATACTTCTTACTCCACTATCTTCCTAAAGTGATGCCCAACAATAGATTTTTAATTATTTAAGTTTTAAAATGGTTTTTGATGGTATTGGAGATCAAATCTAAGGATGCACACATGCTAAGTACTCTACCACTAAGCACCTCACTGTCCTTATGATGCTTCTTCAAAAACACAATCATCTTGAATTTCAAGTCAGCTAAGAAACTGGCCTAAATTCACAGTTACAAAAATAACAGTGATTATAATTCTGATGTTCAATTCCAAAATCAATGTTCTTTATACTAATTTTTGTCACATTTTTATACATGTAGATTGCAATTTTCATTGGAAGTTATTTTGTACAACAGTGACTTCTAGAGCCAAACTGTCCAAATTCTGGCTGTGTCTTTCCATGCAATCTTGTGAAAGGTACTTGTGTAACTCAGTTTCCTCAAATGTAAAATGAAAATAACACAGTCTTTATGGTATAAAATTTTTGCAAGACATAACTGAAGTAATCTATATAAAATTTTACAATAGTATCTGGTCCATAGTCTTAACTGTTAAGATCTTAATCAAAATCTATGGTGTAACATGAAGGTATGGACAGCTGTTTTGAAGGGGACAAGAGACATTATCATAGCCATTGTTGGTTTTCCTATTGTCTGGTTTTGAAGGCCTGTAATGCTTTCATTATTCTATTTGATCAGTTTTATACTATTTTTTGTATGAATTCATTGTGTATGAAGATACAACTATTTAGAAGAAAACAGAGATATTATGGTAGCCACTGTTGATCTTCTGTTGTCTTGCTTTGAAATCTTGCATCACTTACACTGTTTTCCTCTGACTTGCTTTGTTTTATTTTACCCTCTTTAAAATAAAAAAAACCATGATGCATGACAGAAATATATACTAAATGTTTAAATTTTTAAAAAGTTATTACAGTAAAAGTCATTAATCCTCTTAAAAACACTCTTCAAAACTTTTCCATCACTCTTGCCACTTTCTGAAACAATTCTTAGTCTTTAGTTAGTATTTTTATAAGATCTAATAAAAATATAGTAAATGATTCAGCCAAGTACCTTTCAATGCAATGGTAAGCTTATAAAAACATTATGTCTTCATCCACTTACTCATCAAATCTTACACCACATATTTTCTGGTTCTTCCCCAAAGTCAAATAACTATGAAAAGTAAACATTTTGAATTGACAGGCACAATAGCACACCTAAAGACACTCAGGAAAGACAACTTCCAGAACTGCTTCAGAAAGTGGCAAGAATGATGGGAACTTTTTAAAAGGATTAATGACAATCTATCTTTTACTACAATAATTTTTATTTAACTTAAGTATTATATTTTTCAATTAACCTCACACAAAACAAAGGGGTTCTAAAATAAGGACTCTATAAGTTAATATTATTAATTAGGGCTTTAAGGCTTCAGCTCCTTGCTTTTTCAAAACAAATAAAAATACAGGCTTTCAAAGCAGTAATGAAACTTGCTGGTTCTTATTGGAAATAATGAAACAAAAGGTCTTAAACTGGCCTTTCATCATTAAGAATTTTTGATACATTGCACCACTTGATGTGGTAATCTTTATATGGTTTTAAATTAAATAAATCTAATTATTCTCAATAATTCACTATTATACCTTCAGAAAATGCTGGCATGTATAAGAACAAATAAATGGAGTCATATATATAGTGTTACAAGAAATACACTCTCTTAACATGCTTTCCTTACTACATTAAATTCTTAGAAGGAATAACAGAGATATTACAAGTGTCAACCAGTACTTTTGTGATATAAATATCAATCAATAAGTGTCATAAAATAACACAATATTTAAGAAACAGAGGATCTATTAATAACAGATTTGGCCTTAGCAAGATTAAAATATCGGCCCAATCTTCATTTTTTAAACATATGTAAAAACTCCTTATAAAACTCTGACAGAAATAATATGAATAATCATTTTATATACCAACTATGCTGTATCAAGTGTTTTGAAATTCCATGTTTTATGAAATTCAGAAATTTGAGCCCAAATTTCTCTAAAATTCTGCCAAAGCATAAGGATTCTGTTACAGTACAGCTTTACTTTATTTCAGTGTTACAATGTTAAATACTGTGTCCCTATAATATACATACAAATCAAGAAATAATGCAGAAAAGTAAATGATGCAAACAAATAGCAATGATATATTTTTACCCAAAGATCAGTAGCTTCTGAACTATCTGAATTAACATCAAATTCAAAGATTTTTCTCTTTTTACTATTTTCTTCAATGGGTTTATTCTTTTCTTCTTTTTGCTGTAATTGTAGTTTAGTTGGAGTCTTCACTGTATATGCCTATCCAAAAGTAAAAAAGAATATATTATCAAATATAATATCTATTGTTAGCAATTTGAAGTCTTCAGAAGTCAGAAATATCTGTTATTATTGGCAAGTATTTGGGGCAGAAATTTTGGATAAGGATTTAATTCATGTTTTTTGGGGGGGGGAGGGGCTGGTGCCAGGAATTGAACTCCTGACCTTGTGCTTGCCAAGCAGGTGCTTGTGTTGCTGAGCTCTACTCTGGCCCCAATTCATGTTTTTGATACTAGAAACTTTTTTCAAAGGCTCAAGATTAAAAGTTTTCTTTGTATTTCTCTTCAAATTACTGAAAAAAATTCTTTAATACTAAAAGAAAAACGGACTTCTACTCTGGTTTTAGCAATAAATAAGCATAAGAACTTTAAATTTTCTAATCATAATTAAGGACAAAAACTGAGTGAACTGACAGCAGCATAGCCAAACTCAGAATAGGGCCTGTGATTGGGAAGCTGCCAGGTGGCAAAGGCAATATAAACAGGAAAAATTTGATGTGTGAAGAACCAAACTAAGCTCCTCAGAGACTTTTCAGTTTTATCTATAGATGACATTAGACTCTACACCAAAGGGCCCCCCCCCAAAAAAAAAAACTCCACCAAAAAGACTTCTAGATTTAATAATCAACTCAGGGTTGCAGGGAAAAAGTAACCCTTGTCCACTGCTTGTGGGAATGTAGTCTGGCAAAACCACTGTGGAAATCATTGTGCAAATTCCTTAAAAAATTAGGCCTATAGCTCCTACTTGATCCAGCTATTCTTCTTGGTATCTTCATGAAAGAATTAAAAGCATCATATCACAGAGATACATGTATACTCATGTTTATAGCAGCACAGTTTGTAATAAACTATTATCTTTGAGACAACCCAAATGGCCATCATCTGACAAATGGATTTAAAAAGGTGTTTTTTATACAATGGAGTACTACTCAGCCACAAAAAAGATAAGCTGGAGACATTCATTGCTAAATGGATGGATCTTGAGGTCATATAATAAAATAAATCAATCACATATTTGTAAGTACTGTATTGTTTCTCTGATGTGAGAAAATGAATGTGAAAGCAAGGACCAAAATGTACAGTAGACACTGTGAAATAGAAATCATTCAAATGGAAGGGGAACTGGGGGTAGAGGGAGAGAAACTGGAAAGAATGGAAAAGAAAAAATGGAAAAAAAGATAAAATAGAAACAAAGCTTTGTAACTAAAGTACAAACCCATGATGTACAAACCTCCTATGATGAATGTGATCATTACGTATATATAAATTGTACCAATAAATTTAAAAAACTGCTCAAAAGACAGAAGCAACTAATCATGTATGAAGAAGCCTTAAAAATACTGACAGCTTGTTTCTCATTAGAAACTATAGTAAAGAAGAACATGTATGGATTTTCAAAGTGCTTAAAGGAAAGGACTATCACCAAATAATTTTATGTTCATCAAATTGTCCTTCAAAATGAAGGAACCAATAATACTTGCCTAAATAAACTAAAACTGAGATTTGTCACAAATATACTTCTCTATGCTAGACTACTATCAGACAAAACAGAGTGTAAAACAAAAGCTGAGGCAAAAAAGGACGTTTTATTTTTTTAATTTTATTTAAAGAGAAAAAATAGAAAAAGGGAAGAAATAATAATTTCAAAAAAATAAACAGTGAGAAATCACTAGTTGATAAATTACATATTGTCCTCTTAGAAATAGTTGTTCAAGTTACAAAAGTAAAGCATACAAAGTGAACATTCAAACAGCGAGACTGCAAACAGTTCTGTTCAACGATCCAACAAAAACCTACTAATATGGTTATCAATCCTACACACTTAGAAACATACATGCAATTATATCCTTTAGAGCACTTTCCTTTCCTCTCTTTTTTACAACAGCAACTATACATTTGGGGTTTTACTACTCCTACAGTTATTACTACTTTTTACACTACAGACACAGTGTGGTATTTATAAATATGATTCTTATTTATTTCACTAATGAGAACAGTCTCAAATCATCTCCATTTAGCTATGAAGGCCTCAAGATTATCAAAAAAGGATGTTTTAAAGAATAAACGTGTGAATCCATCAAAATATGCTATACACATATATTCCTAATAGCAAAACCTCAAAATACACAAACCTAAGGCTGTACAGACAATGCAACATTAATACTTAAGATTCTAAGATCCCACTTTCAATAAAAAGTAGAACTAAACAGCAAATAAGCAGAAAATAGAATAGTTTAAAATACTAGGAACAAAGCCAGGTATGGCGGCTTACTCCTATAATCCCCAGCAGTGGAAAGGCTGAGGCAGGAGGATTGCTGCAATTTCGAGGCCAGCTTAGGCTACAAAGTGAGTTCAAGGCCAGCCTGAACCATACAGTGAAACTCTTGCCTCAAAAAAAGACCAAAAAATATTTTGAACCAATCAGATATTTAGGAAATCCACACATACATGAAAACAGCACTCTTTAAATGGTCAGTGGGTCAAAGAATAGTTGCAAGAAGTTAGAAAGTATGGGGCTGGGGATTTAGCTCAGTGGCATATGCACCTGCCTTGCAAGCAGGCAGTCGTGAGTTCGATCCCTGATACCGATAAAAAAACGAAAAAGACAAAAAAAAAAGTTGTTAGAAAGTACTTTGAAATGTACAATAAAAGAATACATATAAAAAGTTGTATGATATATTCAAATCAGTATATTCAAATCAATATATTCCCACTTTGAGGGAAATCGCTAAAGTGTCTCCATTAAAAATCAAGATTAAGAATAGAGAAAAATGATAATTAACATTATTTGATAGCTCAGATTGAATCCTGGAATAGAAAGACATTAGCAGAAACTAAGGGCTGAACTTTATTATTTTTTGTTTTATTTAAAGAAAGCAGGAAAAAATAGAAAAAAAGGTACAGAATTCAAAAAAACACAAAGAAATCACTGGTTGATACATTACACAATGTCATCTTAGAAATAGTTGTTCAAGTCACCATATCAAAGCATAAAAAGTGGACACTCAAACATTGACAATGCAAATCATTCTGTTCAATGATCCAACGAAGTTTAGTAATATGAGCATCTATCTTAAACATTTATACAATTATATCCTTTAAAATATTTTCCTCCCCTTTCATTTTTATATTATACATATTTACTACTTTTTCAGTTTTATTTTTACACTAGAGAGATGTGATATTTACAAAGGTGAGTCTTATTTCACTTATAAGGATAGTCTCAAGTTGCCTTCATTTACCTATAAAGGCCTCAAGATCGTCTTGTTTAGCTGAGTCTAAGCCGAGTCTAGCTGAGTAGTATTCCATTGTAGAAAAATACATCTTTTTCATCCATTCTGAAGTTGATGAGCATTTTGGTTGTCTCCAAGATTAAGCTTTTACAAATTGTGATATCATAAACATGGGAGCATATATATCACTGTGACACGACCTTTTGTATTTTTCTAGGAAAATACCTAGGAGGGGAATAGCTGGATTGAATGGAACTTCTAATTCTAGTTTTTGAGCAATCTCCATACTGATTTCAACAGTGACTGCACCAGTCTACACTCCCACCAACAGTGGAGAAGTATTCCATTTTCCCCGCAGCCTTGCCAACATTTGTTACCAGTTGATTTCTTGATGGCAGCCATTCTTCCTGGGATGAGATGAATACTCAGTGTTGTTCTAATTTGCATTTCTTGAATGACCGGTGATAGTGAGCATTTCTTCATGTATTTATTTGCCATTTGTGTAACTTCATCTGAGAAATGTGTATTCATCTCAGATGCTCAGATGAATTTGGTAGGCTTGATGTTTTTCAATTCTTTATATCTTCTGGATGTAAGTCCTTTGTGTGAGGGATTGTCAGCTAAAATTCTTTCCCATTTTATGAGTTTTTTTTCACTTTATTGGTGATTTCTTTTGAAATGCAAAAACTTTTTAATAAGCCAAGATCCCAGTTGTTGATTCTTTGAAGTATTTCCCGTATGGTTTGAGTTTTGTTCATAAATTCTCTGCCTAGCACTATGTCTCCAAGGTTTCTACCTACCCTGTCTTCCTGTCTTCCAATAGACTTAGTGTTTCTGTTTTAATATTTAGGTCCTTGATCCATTTTGACTTTAGTTTAGTGCATGGCGACAGCCATGGGTCTAGTTTTAGTCTTTAGCATGTGGAAAGCCAATTTTTCCAAAACCATTTATTAAAGAGGCTATCTTTTTTCCAGTGAACATGTTTAGCCCCTTTGTCAAATACAAGGTGGCTGAGTGTCTTTGTAGTTGTGCTTGCATCTTCTAATCTGTTCCATTGATCCTCAGGTCTATTTCTTTACCAGTATCATGTCGATTTTATCACTGTAGCTTTATAGTATTGTTTCAAGTCAGGAATTGAGGTGCCGCTTGTCTTGCCTTTGTTGCCCAGAATCACCTTTGCTATCCTAGGCTTCTTCTGTTTGCAAATGAATTTTAGGAGTGTCTTCTCTAGATCTGTGAGGTATATTAATGGCATTTTGATTGTGATTGCATTTTTGGGAGTATGGCCATTTTCACAATGTTGGTTCTTTCTAACCAAGAGCAAGGAATATCCTTCCATTTCTAATAACCTCTTCAATTCCTTTTTTAGAGTAGTATAATTTTCAGTGTATAGGGATTTTACATTCTTTGTTGATTCCCAAGTATTTCATTTTTTAGATGCTATTCTGAAAGGCGGTATTTCCATAATTTCTCTCTCAGTGAGGTTTTTGTGTACAGGAATACTATTGATTTCAGAGTGTTGACTTTGTACCCAGCTATGCTGCTGAATTTGTCTATTACTTCTATTAGTCTTTTAATAGAGTTTTTTGGGTCTTCTATGTAAAGTATCATGTCAACTGCAAATAATGATAATTTAACTTTTTCTTTGCCTATCTTTATTCTTTTTAGTTTACTCTGGTCTGATTGCTCTGGCTAGTATTTCCAGGACTATACTGAATAGGAATAGTGATAGTGGACATCCTTGTCTTGTTCTGGATTTTAGAGTGAAAGCTTTCAGTTTTTGTCCATTTAGTATAATGTTGGCTGTTGGTTTGTCATAAATGGCCTTTATGAGAGTGAAGTAGATACCATCTATTCCGGGTTTCTGTAGGACTTTTATCAAGAACAGGTGCTGGACAAAAGCTTTTTCTGTGCCTATTGAGATGATCCTATTATCTTTGCTTTTGGCTCTGTTGATGGGGTGTATTACATTTATTGATTTGCATATGTTAAACTATCCCTGTATTCCTGAAATAAATCCCACTTGGTCATGGTGTATAATCCTCTTGATTTGCTGCATTCTATTTAGGGCTTAAGGTTATATATACTTTGTGTTTTGGTTTTGATAAATGTACTATGGTAATGTAAAATGTTAAAAATGAGGAAAACTGGGTAAGGAATATAGAGAATTTCTCTATTCTATCCTTTGCTCTTTTTTTATAAATTCAAATTAATTGCCAAGTAAAAAGCTTATTTTTATAAAAAGTAACCATGCTCATGAGAAGAGTAAATTTTAAAAGATTTTTTAAAAAATATCATGGATGATAATACCATAGAATCACTAGAACCCTCATTATTTATAGGCACCTGTAATGGTTGATACTTGTGTGAACTTGAGTAGTTTAGAAGTTTATGAGACTCGGCAGGAGGCCTGATTCCTCACTTTTTAAAGATCCTTACCATATGCAAGAGGGCACGGAGATGGTTTGCATGCTACTCCACCCAAGGTGGCAGGGGAGCCTGCTTACAATATAAGGGACGAAAAAGGCTTCCTTTTCTCTTTCTACCCTTGTTGCTTTTACTGTCTTCTGCCACTACAAATTGCTACCCCCCTGCCACACCATCCTGCTTAGAGCCAGCTGACTATGGACTGAAACTGCCACAAATTGTAAGCTAAACAAATCTTTTCTTTCTTAATTTTGGGTATTGGGTATTATGCCTCAGCAAAGAGAGAAAAGTAACTAAGAATTTAGTACCAGGAAAATGAGGTTGTTGCTATGACTATACCTGACCATGTGGTTCACGACTTTGAGAATGGCTTTTGGGAAAAGTTTAGAGATGTCACTTCAAAGAGGTGAGCTATATCACCTCAGACTATTCTGTATGGGATGATTCTGGTCAGAGCTCAGAAGACCAGAAAACTGGTAAAGACCAGGCTCAGGAGGTTTCTGTTGAGAATGACTATATTGGCTGCTGGACTCCAGACACTGTGTGTTATGGACTGGCAGAAAGTTTGTCTCAATTTTGCTTCTATCCAGAAACTTTGCCTCAGGTTGAGATTAAGGGTGGTGGAATAATCTAACAGAAGAAATTTCAAGACAGTCTAATGTTGAGGTGGTGGCATGGCTACTATTGGGGGCTTTTAGCCAGATTTATGTTGAGAATCAAGAGCAAACAGTTTAGCAGAATGATTTTTAAAATGTGAGTTTGCCAGAAAGTTTTAGCTGCCTGCAGAATACAAAAGTTGTGGTGTTAAGAAGACTTCCACTTGGATTTCAGAAGGCCTTGGCAGGGGGGCGGGGGGCCAGGTATGTGCCCCTGACAGGACAGTGTGTAAAGCTGTTAGGGTGAAGCCAAAGATGCAGAAGATACCCCAGAAGACTGGAAAAGTGAAGAACGTGGATCATCTGTGGAAACACGGAGGGAGCACAGCAGGCCCAAGAGAGAAGCCATGGCAGCTACTACCACTCAAAGTGCCATAGAGTTGGAGGCATCAAAGCCCTTTGGAGGTCACAACTTATCACAGATTTCCTTAGGTGCTACACATGGAACTACAGGACTTAATGTTTGTCCTGCTGAATTTTGGACTTGCTTTGGTCCCAATCCTTTGTATTCCCTGGTTTATAACTATGGAAATGAAAATGTTTATCTTGTGTCACTGAATGTTGGAAGTGTATAACTTTTCATTTGCACAGGGGCTTGAAGCTAAGAGTTTGCCTTACGTCTCAGAAGAGACGTTGGGCTCGTACTTTTCAGCAATGCTAAAGCTGTTAGGATTTGGTAACTCCTACTCTGAAATGAATATGAAACTGGAGAAAAGTACTAGTAATCCATATTCTAAGTAAAGCAAACTACAACTGAAGCCTGATCCTTCTCTATGTCTTATCTAAAAATGAGAGAACAGGCCTAGCAGTCAACATTCACCTCTCTTCTTCCCAATCATTTTAAGAAAACTGACAGAGAAAGGAATGAAACTTCAGCTTAAGAGGAGAAGAGACAAGTTGAGATATTCTTCCTCTCAACTCTCAAGAGAAGTGAGGCAAAGATGCCAAGAATGTTCACAAAGTCTTGGGGTACCTTCAAGGAGGGTAGACAGACATCTTGGTAGGATAGAAACTTAGCAAATTTTTCTGTTTTTGTGCTGAGCTGAGCAGAGGAAAAGTAAATTAGAAAAGAATGACAGAAAGGAGAAAAGAGTCAGAGAGAGAAAATTCTTCATTGTCACTTAGTATGGCAAGGGTATAAGAATTCTCTCATGGATTAAGTAAACATGTAGAAGATAGTTAAAACCTTGCTAGTGGCACCTGTTTCAGGATGACCAATAAAGAACTCTGGAAGCCAGATGACACAAGCTAAAGAACAAAAGAAAGTAACTGCAGTGATATTGTAAAATATCAAGTCAGACCCAGATTGCTCACATCAGAGATTTAAGCATTGGAAAATGACTAACAAGTTACATAATTTGTCTAGTATGCCATTATAAACTTAATGGAATAGTAAAAATGTAACATTTCATGATGATACAACATAAAACTGAAAATTTCAAGGAACTAATTTATATGTGTGTTTAATACCAGATATATAATATGAGGAACTAAAATTCTTTTCTAATTAATAAAAGTCTTATTACTATTTTGGAAATGTTAACCAACCTTTGGTAGTGGTGTAGATAAATTGCTTTTGGCAGAAGTCCACATATAGTCTCTTTTATCTTTGGATTTACCATAATCAGTTGATAAGAAGTTTCGAGATACATTTTGTAAAGGAGTTGCTTTAGAATCAAATTTCCTGTAACTAGTTTCAGGTGCTTCCCATGAAGATGTCTGTATTTTCTGCATTAAACAAAAATGAGTAAAAACATCATTAAAATGAAAGGTTGTTTTAATTATTTAATTGCAGCAACTAATATAATGCTGAAATAAACTAGAATTTATCCCCAAATTAAACTTTGTGGTAACAAGAATTTTAAGGAATATTTGCCCATGTAAAATGAATACATTTATCTGTGAACTGCTAGGAAAACAAACACCTGAAGTCTTTTGACCAAATTTAAAGACTTTTTAAAAAGTGTGTAGCAAAAAGCTGTAATATATGGTTCACTCTAACAGTCTAAAAACCAGAGGGCAATTTATTTTCATTTTCCTTCATGCTTTTTTAAGTATTCAAACTTCTTCTCTTTCTCATCTATAAAAATTTCAACCTTTTTACTAAACAATAGTTCCAGTCACCTTCAAAAAAAAAAGGAGAAAAATCACAAAAATAAAGAGTGAAATTTCCAGGAAAAACTGAAAAATGATCATTCACTTCAATTCTGCAAGTAAACAAATTGCAAATTTACTCTGAATATGTACATAGTTTAATTCACCTTCCTCCCTTCTTTTTCTCTATACCTCTATATAAAGTTTCTTTAGCAACTAACCTAACTTTCTAATAAATGCTAGTAATAACCACTTTGGTAGAAACCCACATGAAACCCATGCTCACTACTTTCTATTCTGACTACTTCCTTAGGTCACCACTATCTTCATGAATACAACGATGACATTCACTCACATGAAGAATGAAACACAGATAGAAGGGTGTTACGGTTTGTCTCTGGATGCCCCTTAAAACTTCATGAGGTTATGAGGACAGCCTTTTTGCAGGCACCTGAATCTAGAGTTTGTGACTGGTTCACTAATGCTGGGATGGCAGGTGTGAGTGCTACAAATGCCCTAGGGTTGGTAGTATGCATACAATATAAAGGAAGAAAACAGGCTTTCTCTCCCTTTTTGCTGTCTTCCACTGAGAAGAAGTTGCCCCTCTGCCATGTCATCCTGCCTTGGAGCCAGCTCATCATGAATTGAAACCTCCACAAACTGTGAGCTAAATAAACCTCTTTTCTTAATTTTGGGTGTCTCATATTTTGTCTCAGCAATGAGAGAAAAGTCACTACGACAAAGACTACAGTGATAAATACTTCAAAAACATGGTGATCGAAATTGTAATGATTTCAAATTAGGAGAGTAGAGTGCGCAGGTTTAGGAAATGAGTGCAAGTACTATGTAAAAATACTGAAGTAGGAACCACATAATATACTCTTTTTTCCTAGATCTTTAAGTAATTAAATTTCCAAGCATCTCTATGCTTAAATGTATCCATCTGTAAAACTAAACAGCTAAATGAGGTATGTTGTAGCTTTTTTGTCCAGTTCTAGTGATCTATCACTTTACAATCATTTTGCAGATCTGAGTTTTGGTAGCATTTTTCAGAAAGTTGTATATCTGTATCATTTTCCTCTTTATCATGGTTGAATGCATAATTTTAGTCAATTTTTTTCTGCCACTTGGATTTATCAGGGGTCACCCTGGAAACCTCCAAAATATTCATTTTTCCTAATAGGCCTAAGAACAGCAATTAAAAGTCACTGTGCCACCACCTTGTGGCTACATCAAGAATTGATAAAAGAAGTCATTACCCACTGACGAATATTTATCCCTTTTCATACTACATCAAGGAAACACACACTTCCTTACAAGTTACATTTGGTTTTTAATGTTGTAGTTTCAGTGATTTACTACTACAGATATGCACTTTTTGCACTGAGATCTTGTCTCAAAAAAAGGGGAACTGAATATAGTATAGCTCTTTCCTTATGCTGCACCCCCACAAACTCCCTGAACAAGAAAGGCACACATCTGCTGTTTCTTTATTCATAAATTTACAAAAGCAGGGCATCAAATGGGTAGATCTGTCCTGGTCAAGTTCCAATTATGACACTACGTAAATCTACCAAATCTGGGATTTCAAAACTGAGAAATTCTTTTGACTTCAGTTATAAACTACACTCTTCAATATTAATTTATTTTTGTTTTGTTTTGTTTTGGTGCCAGGAATCAAACCCATCACCTTGCACTTGCCAAGCAGGTGCTTAAGCCACTGAGCTAATCCCCGGCCCTTCAATATTAACTTATTAATAATAAAAATATTCTGTTGATTCTCCTTTGTCTCAGTTCAGAACTTGAGCACAGATGAAAAAATGACTGGCTGATTTGGGCGACACCGTCTCACTACATAGCTCAGACTGGCCCCAAATTCATAGCAATTCTCCTACCTCAACCACTTGAACACTGAAATTATAGGCATACATCGCCATACCCATCTCAGAATGTCATTTGGGCCTCTCAAAACTAAAATAATTTGTAATCTAAGTAGAAGCTTTAGAAGGCTTTTTCTCAGTGCTAGGGAAAGAACCAGGAGCTTGCAAGATAGGTAAGCACTCTATTACTGAGTTATACCTCCTCCAAGCTTTAGAATTTTTTCATGCTTATAGACGTTTCAGTTAATTTTATTGGTGTACTTTAGATGTATATAATGATCACATTCATCACCAGTGTGAGTTTGTACCTGCACATGATATATCTTGATTTTTCCTGATCTCCTCTTCTCCATTTAACCCCTCTTCCCTCTATTTACAAAAGCTTTTTTTCCATTTTGTTCCATTATTTTTTTTCTTTTCCCTTCCTTATTTCCTCCCTCCCCATCTCTTGTTCTCCTTCCCATTTGAATATTTTCTTCCTATTTCTCAGTGTCTTTTATAGGTTCTTATACACCCTTTCAGTTTCTCATGGCAGAGAAACAATGTGCTATTTAAACATGTGAATTTCTCGATTTATTTCACTTTTACTTTTCTTCCTTTCCCCATCCTCTCCCTAGTTCCTTCTTTTAAACAATTTTTCCCATCAAATATCAGAAATTTTTCGAAAGGAAATACACAGGTATCTAATTTAGAATAACTGACAGGAATCATAAAAGACTCTAAATCTCCAAATGACAAGTGTTTTAAACTTTTCAGCTAATGATTTTTAATTAATAGCAAAAAATAATTTAGGAATAAAATTATGAGACATTTTAGATATTATTTCCCTACTTAAAATTAATTCTATGTATACATCATAAAATGAATTATACAAATCAGAAACCAAAATTATCTTACCTTGTCTTTTTTTTCTTTCACCTCTATTTTGAGTTTTTCCTATTAAAAATAAGTATCAAATATTTATTAGACAATCACTATCATAAATGAATATTTTTATTATGAAGATTTCCCCTAATAATTATTAATAAAGCAAGAATATTAATTTTTCAATCTTATAACACAAAGAAAAGCATTAAATTAGCTTCTTTCTACAGATGAGTTATTTGGTTTTATTTTTTCTTTTTATTCTGATATGTCTCTATTGTAAACTACAGAAAATAAGTCTTCCAAAACTCTTAACTTCAACTTTCTTATTTTAAAATGAGGATAAACAAGATCGTAGAGGAAAATATCTGGACAAGTAACTAAACTATGAAGAGCTGCAAAGAAATCCAAAATATTATGAGCCTGGAGAGGCTAAATCAGCTCCTTTCCTGTGTGCTGAGAAAAGATATCAAGTATGACTAAGAAATAAAATTTCAACATGACAGAGATGAGGTATAAAAAGAAAAAAATGCTAAGAAGCAAAAATAATCATGAAATAGAAAAGAATATAATAGTAAACATACTTTTGCTAAAGAACTGGGCCTATGTATAGAAGTTTTCAAGATAAAAATGAAGAGAAAAATGTGGTCAGAGTATACTACTATAGAATTTACTTAGTAGGAAAAAAGGAATTAAAATGTAGTACACCTATAATGTGATAGACATCTGTAGAACACAATTGCTGCAATCCAGGGAGCCATAAAGTTCTCAGAGAAGGGACATTCTTCCTGTATGTAGGTAGAACTTTAGATAATTAAATATGCCCTGCCTACCCATAATTCCTATACTAACTTCTATCCTCACTGAATGCCTTATGTACAAATTGTTATCCTCCAATCAGAACTCACTTCACTATGATAAGAACTAGCAGTAAGCTCATTTGTGTGTGTGTGTGTGTGTGTGTGTCTGTCTGTCTGTCTGTCTGTCTGTTTGTGTTGCAATAGGGTCTTGCCATGTAGTTCAGGCTGGCCTTGAACTCTCTGTGTAGTCCAGGCTAACCTGAAACTCATGGCTATCCTCTTGCCTTAATCTCCCAAGATCTGGGAATTATACTCATGTGCCACCATGCCCATTATATTTATTGTTTTTATTTTGCACTCCGCCATCCACCAATAGTTGAAATTCAGCTATAATGAAAACTGGGGGCTACTCTAAGGGGCTAAAATGTGGTCTTGTTAAACAAAGTATATTGGCTAAACTAGCAATATTACACTGACTTTAAGAAAGCTTTACTTCTAGAGAACAAAAAGAGAAAGCACAGACTTCCAGGAAGATGGCAGAGTGGTGAGAAGTGGTAAATTAACTTCTCCAAGGCTGGGAGACCAGACACTGGAGGACATCAACTTAGGAAACAGAAAGAAAGTAGATACCCGAGAAAGTCCTGCAGAGAGAATACAGCCCACAGGGAAAGCAAGATGAGGGACATCGATACAAAACAGGGAGGTAGCAAACTGCACATTCTTCTTCACACCTGATTCATGGTATGAGAGGTGACTGAAGCCTATAGAGGTGCGGTGATGGTGGGGGACCCTGGAGGCCTCCATGAAGTAAGGCAACAATGGAACAGATCAGTGGATGTGGTGGGGAGCAACAGCTGTTGAATGACTACAAATCTAATATGCCTGGGAGAAGATGCCATTTTAGAGTGAGGCCAGCTGAACCCAAGACTCAGAGAAGCCCTGGGTTGGCTTCATCTTGGGGGCCCCAGTATCCAGATAAAGCACAGGGTTGGGGAGCTAAGATTAAATGTGCCATTGAAACTGGAGATTGATCACATATGTAGGGCTAAAGCAAAACCAGCCCAGGAGAAACAAAGACCAAAACAAGCTATGTAAACAAGTTGTTCCAGCACCAAGAAGGCAAGGGGCCCAGGCCTGCCAAGCACTGGGTTGCTAGGCAGAGGGGCTGAAATTGACATCATCTTTCCCAGTATATAAAGGTGCACAGTGGTTGAGTAGTTCCTTTCCTCCCATCAGGAGGATAAGGACTCCACCTGCCCCAGCTTTGTCTTTTCTTTATTTTTCTCATCCTCTTGCAGTCCTTAACCCCAAGAACCTCAGGAGCCATACTGGGTGGTGACATTTAAGCCAGCAAGAAACACCCATAGTAGTGTGGGCTGAGAAAATCAGGTCAAAGATCCACAAATAGAGACAGATCAGCCTGAATTTCTGCAGAGTTAAATCAGCACCCCACCGTACTCCTACTTCAGGCTTGTTGAGATTATATAGCACTGCCACCCTAATCCTACTGCAACTTGTGGGGATCATAAAATACAGATTAAGGTTCTGTCTGCCTCCTTTGTTTATCAGTGACAGCGGAGTGGAGATTACCACAAAACTCCCTAATGACAGGCTTGAAATCAAACCTAGAAATCTTTTAATTGTATATTCTTGTTTTTTCATGATTGTGAACATCGTTTTTAGATTTTTTATGTTTTGGTCTTGTTTTTGTTTCTTCATTTCCCTCCTGCCTCTACCAGTCTCCAAAAGCTTAAGTAATCATCTTTTGTTCTTCAACTTTGCTTCCAATCTCTTTTATTTCTTTGTTTATTCATTACATCTCTTTAAATTTCCACCCCAGAGGTTAAAATCACTCAATTGAGGGGGTATTTCCTGTATATAATTTTCTGCTTTGTTTTTGATTTTGTCATATAACTATAAATTTTGTTCATACGGTTAAAGGTGAAAAATTAATAGTTACCACAGTTTGTCATTTTCTGGGCTATATTAGATTTTAGAATGTCAATACAACATACCAGAACTTATGGAATGCACTAAAAACAGCCCCACAAGGAAAAATTATAATGGTTAATGGCCATGTCAGAGAAACAGAACAAGCTCAAATAAACAAATGAATGTTGAATCTCAAGCTACTAGAAAAGGCAAATTCAAGGGAGGAAACTGTAAAAATTAGAGCAGAAGTTAATGCAATGGAGAATAAGAAAACAATATAAAGAATCAATGAACTGAAAACCTGGTTCCTTGAAAGATTAAATAGACAAACCATTAGCCAACCTTATTCAAAACGGAAAGAAAAGACTCAGATCCATGCAATAGGAATGAAAAGGGTAAAATCACAACCGATCTTGAAGAAATCCAGAAGATCATCAACATCTACTTCAAGAACCTGTATTCTAAAAAGATGGAAAACATAGAAATGGACAGATCCCTAGATACATACAAATTACCAAAGGTGAATCAAGAAGATACAAAAATTCTAAAGATTCCAGTAATTAGTCAATGAAATTTAAGAAGTAATTAAAAAAAAAAAAACCTACTAAGAAAGAAAAGCCCAGGCCCTGACAGAGTCACTGCTGAATTCGCTAAGAAACTTAGAGAAGATCTTATGCCACCACTCCTCAAACTCTTTAATAAAACTGAAAAGAACGCAGTACTCTCAAACTCATTTCTGGAAGCAAGCATAACTCTGATACAAAAAGAAGAGAAAGATCTAACAAACAACGTGTACTTTAGGCCATACAGAACAAACGTGCAAAAATCCTCAATTAATAACAGCAAACAGAATGCAGCAAATCATCAAGAAGATTACACACTATGACCAAGCAGGATTCACTCAAGGGATACAAGAGTATGGTCTGACCATATGCAAATCACTGAATGTAATATACCACACATTAACAGAACAGAAGTACAAAAACTTCATGATCATCTCAAAAGACAGAAAAAAGCATTTGACAAAGTTCGACACACATTCACGATTTTAAAAAACTGGAATAGAAGGTCATTATCTCAAATATGATAAAGGCCATCTGTGACAAACCAACAGCCAACATCATCTAATGGTCAAAAATTTAACACTTTCACTCTAACGTCAGGAAAAAGACAAAAATGTTCCACCATCATCACTTCTATTCAATACAGTTCTGGAAATATGAGCTAGAGCAATTAAACAGAAAGGGGAAAAAAGGAATAAGGAAAGAAAAAGAAGAAATTAAATCATCACTACTTGCTAATGGCAATGATACTCTATGTAGAAAACCCAAAACTCTATCAAAAGACTTCTAGAATTAATAGCTAAATTCAGTAGTGTAGCTGGATACAAACTCAACACTCAACACTGAAAAGCATTCCTGTACACAGAAAACAAACTCACTGAGAGAGAAATTAAGGAAACCATACTTTTCACAATACAAATCACATTAAGAATCAACCTAACAAATGAAATAAAAGATCTTCACCTTGAAAATGACAGTACTCTGAAAAAGGAGATTGAAGAATATATCATGAAATGGAAGGTATCCCTTGTTCTTGGGTAGGAAAAACCAGTTTCTTGGAATTGGCCATACTTCCAAAACTTTACACAGATTCAATGCAATTCCAATCAAAATACCATTAGCATTCTTCACAGAACTAGAGAAAACAATCGCTAACTTCATTTGGAATCAGCAGAGATGTAGAGTAGTAAAAGCAATTCAGGGCAACAAAGGCAAAGCAGGGACATCACAATCCTTACTTGAAATTATACTACAAAGCTATTGTAATAAAAAACAGCATTAGTATTGGAAAAAAAAAACAATCACCCAAGGATCAAGGGAATACAGTAGAAGTGGCAGAAAGAACTTCAAACACACTCAACCACCCTATCTTATCAAATGCCTTCACTGGAAGAAAGCCTCTTTAATAAATAGTGCTGGAAAAATTGGTTTTCCATTTGTCAAAGATTAAACCAAGAACTGTATCTTTCACCATGCACTAAACTAAAATTGAAATGGATCAAAAATCTAAATATTAAAACAGATGTAACCTGTTATAAGATAGACTAGGTAAAACTTTTGAACCCACAAGTGTATGGAAAGACTTTATGAATAAAACCTCTGTCTCACAGGAAATACTACAAAGAATCAACAACTGGGATCTTATCACATTTAAAATTTTTACACAGCAAAAGAAACCACTAACACAGTGAAGAGATAAATCACAGAATAAGAAATATTTCTGCCAGCTCTTCTTCAAAGGATTAATATCAAAGCTATGTAATGAACTTTAAAAAAA